ACAAATCGAATGAAAGAAATCGCGACAAAAGTCAATAACAACATCCAGTAAAGCGTTAAAAAAACACTAGCACTTTAAAAAAAAATAAAATAGGGACTATTTCTTTTTACCAGTACTATACTTAAATAAATCTTTATGAAAAACATTGATAGTTGAGGTAAATAATAATTATTTCTTATCAAAATACAACGGAATATATACATTGACGATTTACGAGAAAAGTGTCTGATTATATTAATTGAACTTCTAATTGAGTAAATGGACACGAATATGAATTTTCTGGTTAAATCTACAAGAATTCCCGTTATGATAATTAGAATTCTGATTTATATGTATACCATAGTATAATCAGAATTTTCTGCTTCATTCGTTTTCGATCACATTTTTCTCATTTCAACGTAGAATCTTAACAGACATTAATAATATTTTTTTAAGCAGAAGCTATTTTTCGAATCGATTGGTTCTCGTCAGCGATTTTCGTAGAATCAAATAATGAATTTTAACGACCGTGGGGACTACATTGTTATTCTTGGTACAACCTAAGAAACCTCATTGCGAGTAGGACACGCGCGATCGAACATCGTCACGTAGCGGTGAATCGTCAGCTACACGCACCCAGGGCGAGCTGAATATTAAGAATTGCCGAACAATTATTAAGAAGTACGCCGCGGGGATCGGGGGGTAAAATTACGGTGTCTGTAGCTGAAAAGACATTCCCGACGTACGTGCCAACAATTCCGACGGATGGATACGCAGCCTAGCCGGTTCAATTTCGGCATTGTTTCGTGCGCATCGTCGCGCACATTCCGGTCGGTCCTTTCGCGCTCTCTCGGTTTTGTCTCGCGCTTCTCCGAATCGCGATTACGGTCGAGGTATGTCAATCCAAGCGTGTCTAAATCGCACAACTTTGAAATGCTTGACTTTGAAACTCGACCGTTACTTCACCTACATGTCCCACCTTTGCTTTGTTATTATCGATTTGTTGCATCTCTGAAGATCTTTTGTAACGATTAAAATCAACCCAGTCGACACAAACTAAGAGTAACGTAACTTCAATGTTACAATTTCGCATTTGATAATATAAACATAATATAACAGTTAAATTATTGAGTGGAAATAAATACATCGGTAATGTATTATTTCTAGTTAATGACAATCAGTGTCTCTAGAAAATAGTATCTCATCGTGATTTCATTAAAAAAATCCTAATTTCCCTCAAAATGGCAGCACCAAAAGTATATAATACACATTCAAAGAACATATCAATTCATAAATGTACACATATATTCATACCAGATTCATACATACAGTAACGTGCAAAAGTTTTCGGCCAGTGACATTTTGTATTCTGATTTATAGATAAAAACCTCTGTGAAGTTGGCATCTCATTTTTCATAAAATGAAATTTTCGACACAGTTCCTAATGCACCCCGAAGAATTTTAGAGAGTTCCTGCCCAAAATAAAAAATAGTTCCAACGAATTAACACAAAAAATCGAATATTAAAAATTTGAGGTGCCAACTTTACAGAACGAAAAATCGCGATATCTTCTAAAACATTAGTCTTAGCGCTTTAAATACATATAATAGTAATAACTTTTGATAGAACTCTTAGGGTGCTATCCAGAACTATGAAAAAGAATGGCTTTTTAATACCTATGCGCGGTCAAAAAGTTCTACATCATGTAGTCTTCGTGTCGCAATAACTATACGGATAACATCGGCAAGGTTTTCATCATGTAGCTCGCTTGCAATTTCGGCATCAGTTTTCTTGACATCTGCAGTTGACTTCCGTTTAATGACATGATCTACTTTTTTAGATGTTTTTTATAGCTTTCCATCACGCGAAAGGTCTTTTAATCCATATCCAGCACGATATTTAGCAATAATAGTTGCTTTCCATTTACACCGATTCTCAGATAATTCTCACTTGTGTGGCGTCATAACTCAGTTGAATGCGCGTTCCTTTTACATTTTAAGAAGTGAGATTCAACTGAGGAGTTTTTACCTACAAACTGCACAAGATTGAGACCGTCTGCTTTACTCAACTCGTAGACTCACTTTAAAAGTGATTTAAAATTGAGGTTATGAACCTGTGTTGTTATTTGTTAATTTTACCAAAGTAAGCAAGTAGCGACATCATTATTTTATACTCAGCTCACTTCAGACGCAGTTTTATTTGTGTGTAAATGGAAAGCGAGTAATATATCATTCACAGTTGATTTATCAATAGTAATGAAGTGATCTGAGGAAAAAACTTTCCGTCTTTTGAAAACTTAATTACTCTCTCGCATGAATTTGAATTTGCGTATGCTGAGCCATGCATGTTTACGCCTAAAATACTCTTGAAACCATTCTATTTTCATTGTAGAACTTTTTTTCAACCTCTTACAGTTACAAAGATTCGTTTCGAAAGAGAAAAACCGATTTTTTTCAAAAGGATTTCACCCCTTAAATCTACACCATTGCCGATATAAAAAAATACGTGTCTATTATTTTTGCCTACTCTACAAATGTACCAAATTTCATTAAATTTGGCGAGTCACGGAAAGATAACTTTACTCGTCAGTTTATCTCTAGAATTAAGTAAGTGCAGACGTTTTTCGAAGAAAGTGATTTCGGACTGGCAGAAATAATAAGTACAAGCTGTTTTTCATATTATTAAATTTTGTTGGACACTTTTATATTGTCAGAGATTATAAAGCTATGTTCAATTTAGTATTTACCAACATTATTTTGTGATAAATCTTATTTACAGTTGATGAAAAATGGGTAGATCGAAACATTGTACAGACGAGGAGAAAAGATTGATAAAAAATCTTTATAAAAATGGAAAATCTCTCGGGAAAATATTTAAATTGATAGGACGGTCTAGAAATATGATTGCTAACGCCTTAAAGCACAGCAGTCTGTAGAATTGCGAGAGAGACCTCGAAAAACAACTGAAGTATTTGACCGGCTACTACGAGTACTTCGGAAATGCAAAGCCGATCACTTTACGAGTTTTTTTACAATGAAGAAGCAAACCAATGCACTGATATCAGCAAGAACAATTCGTCAAAGACTGCAAAATGCTAAATTGTGTGCTAGAATCCCAAGAAAAGTGCCACTGTTGAGTAAGAAGAATATTAGAGATCGTTTAACTTTTGCGAATAAATATTTTAAAACTGTTAGTGGAGAGAGAGAGGGAGAGAGAGGGAGAGAGAGGGAGAGAGAGGGAGAGAGAGGGAGAGAGAAGCAGTGGAAAAATATTCTTTGGAGCAACGAAACAAAGATTAATTTGTTCGGATCTGATAGTGCATTAACTGTGAGGAGGCCTCCAAATGCTGCATTCAATCCTAAATTCACCAAAAAGACAATAAAGTTTAGCGAAGGAAATATCATGGTTTGGAGATGCTCCTCCTACAATGGTGTCGGCCTTCTGTATTGGATCAAGGAAACGATGACAAAAGAGATTTATCGTAACGTTTTAAATGATATCATGTTACCCTATGCTAAGGAGAATATGCCACTGATATGGTCTTTTCAGCAAGATAATGATCCAAAACATTCGTCGAAACTTGTAAAAACGTGGTTTGAAGATAATCAAGTCTCTGTGATGAACTGGCTAGCACAATCTCCTGATTTAAATCCCATCGAAAACTTGTGGCATGAAGTAAAAAAGGCAGTCCCAAAGGAGAAAATTAAAAATAAGACTCAATTATGGCAAGAAATTCAGAAAGCGTGGTCATCAAAATCAATATGCGACCGCTTAGTAGATTCAAAATGAGTCGCCGATGTCAAACAGTTTCGTGAAATAAGGGCTACGCGACTAAATATTAGTCAGAAAGACAAGATTTAGTTTTCTGAATATGTTTGAAATGGTTTTCTGTTGTGCAATATAAATATTTCATATAGTGCAATTGTACCTATTATTTTTGCCAAAAACTGTTTGTCAAAAATTTTCTAAGACTAAATATTTCATGATTGTATGACTTAGGCGAAAAATTATTAATTTTTTGATAACTATAAAGCCTCAAAGTATTACCTCTACACATAATAATTGATCTGAATATTTTTTTTCTGTCTTCTGCAGATAAAATTACAATTTATCTGCAGTGCACCTATTATTTCATGCAACCACTCTTGTTTTGACAAAATTGATCGTGATTAGACTATTGTAGATTATTGTAGGGCCTCTAGTATCGATTAGGGATGTAACATCGAGGAGTGCATGTGGGAAATCAATTTCCGTTATTCATGATGACGGTGAAAATCGATCACTTTTTCACAAATTTATTTTTTATTCCTGCAGTAGACTACACCAGGACTCTTTCTCGCTTTCGCTAAATATTAAACTTATATACGTATCTCACTTTAAGTTCTAAAAGTGTTCAGCCATAAAAAATAGACCCTATATTTACAACGTTCAAAATTGACTTCACTCTCTCATATTCGCTTTAAGTAAAATGTTGTCGGCGAGTTGCGAGAGCATAGAGGTCTATATTCAAAAATTATTTCAACTTTCCGCCTCAAGTTGCTTCCTCATGGTAGCGTATATATATTCAAGCGCGCCGAGAGTATTCCGTGACTATACCTCACTTCGCTATCGGCAGTTCGTTCACGTAAAGAGCACGCGCGCGATAGATCACGGGCTTTTCCGATTCGTATGGTTTCTTATACATATATCTAGACCCACACTGGCCGTGCGGGACCGGCGCGGCGCCGTGCCTGTTCTAAACCGTCGAATGTATTTCATTCGGACCTTCTATATCAGCGGACGTGCTTTCTCACCAAAGAGCAACGCAAAAGTTGCGCCTCGTGTTTTTCCTCTTACAAGCGATACGACGTGCAGACGATGTCGATACCAGAGCCCCGGTCCACCAGAAAGTAAAGCGGTTCAGGGGATTGCGGTAGTGGTGTAGCGGTAGAAATAGAAATCCGGCAACGGCGGAAAAAGGACCGAACGCCGCGGGAGACGCGGATATTCGGTCGTCGTGTTGGAATTAAGAGTTGAACACGATGTCCAAGTGCTGCGGCTGCATCGGCGTCTGCGCGATCACCGAAGCGTATCAACCGCTAAACACTCACACCCACTCGCGCGATATCGTTCAAGAAACGTTCAGAAACGGCAGGGAGGTCCTGAGAAGTCCAAAAGATCGTCGCAGGAAGCCTAGTGTTCGCTATGACGTCGTGAGGACTCCCGGAAGTGACAGGTAAGACTTTGGTCAACAACTCGGAATCAATTTCAAATCTCTTGAAAACTTTTTATGAAATTGCAGTCATGGGAGGGAAGATTATTACGGCCAAAATTAAATCTTTTCTGCAATCCTACAGATAACTCCACCGGACGAGAGGAACAGTTTTTCAAGAAGAACGGTTTTGCTGTAGTATATTCGTATTTAAGCTAAATACAAATTCAAAAATAATTTTATTGGATCATCATTAGAATAATTATGTGAATCGTTCAAACTTGTTACTATAAAATATCAGTATTTTTTGCAGCATTGCTCATGCTTGAGATTCCTACGTAATTGTTTTAATGGTAAACAAAGTTATTTTCAGATCTGCATCTAGCTAAATTTTTAGGCACTTAAGCAAAATCGTTAATTTTTCCCATATAGTTTTATTCGGCGAGCAAAATAAAACACGCGAACTATTATCGCGCAATATCTTCAAAATATGAGTATAATGTGAAATTATGTGGTGCTTCAGCGGCAAACAGATGAGTCAAAATTTGATGTGAGCCCTCTCGTGCGTCAAGAGTATATCTCGAGAGCATACGCGCTGCAATTATCGCAGATACACGAAGCCGAGCTAGAGATTTACCGTGTGACTGTTATTTACCCGAGCTGTCTGCGTTTATTCGGTAAACAGTCGTTTCCGTAATAAGCGAATGATTTACGACTATTCTTATGTTTAATGGCATTTCGGGATGTCTTGCCCTTCGTCTACCAAAATACACGATGTAATCTCGTTTGCGCAGAGAAGTGAGTATTTTTAATGCATGCTGCCCTAAAAAGCCTGATAAGTGAGATCCCTTATATATGCGAGAGCTGTATATGTATAAGTCATTGTCGTAGGAACGACTGTCTTAACTCCATTAGATCTGATGTTAATGTAACCAATAGTTAACAAAACTTTTTTATTACATTACCATGTACATCTGATCTCAGATAATGTCGATAGAATTAAATAATTTCAACCGATAATGTCTTCGAATTTGATTTCATTACAATGTTCACAGGATTTGAATGGGTTCAAGTTCTCTGGAGATAATCAAAGTTCCGAAAGTCAAAGTGGTAGATTCAAATCACTTCTTGGCGCTATGAGTCATCGATATTGTATTTGTATTCACTTCTCAAGATTGATATGTATAATTTAGAATCTTGAATTTCTTATGACAATGTAACATCACTATTTGACCTTTCTATATGATATTTTATCTTTTTAAACGTTTTATAATATATAACATCGTTGCGGTTTGAAATATATATTTTTAATTGTTAAGCATCTGAGGAGATCTTAATCACACAGCTGAAACATGTAATGTAATTTAGCTAGCTTTTTAGTCAGATATAAATCAAGTTTTTCACCATTTTTTTGGACTTTTTAATAAATTATTAGTATTATAATTTGACTCTTATCCTTGTATTACACAATTGTTATTTTTTGATATTATCTTTATTTGATATAAAAGAAAATGTATGTAAAAATAACAAGATTGACATTATATTATTTAAAAAATTTCGAAATCTCGAAATCTTTTTACAATTAACGAAGTCTCATTAAATGTGAATCATGTTCGCTACTTAGAATCTTGAATTTATTTATTTACGATACCATAGTGTCATCTCTATGAACTATTATTACATAATGTCATTGATATCGTTGACAAAAAAAAATATACCAGAGTGAAATTAGGATTACATAAGAATTTAGTTCAAGTCTCGTTTCGTGAACTACTGCATTTTACAGTTTTATTTTCGTACTTTTACTTACATTTACACTGCTATCTAGTTCTGCTTCCTAAACAATTTTCGGTTTTAACAAAACCAGAAACGCTCACGGGTTATCGGTTCGAGGTACAATTTCCTCTCGGTCGTCGTTTTGCTTAAACCAATCGCGAGGGAACATGAACGGAATGTCGGACCACAAATGCTACCGGCGAGGATTTTGCGAGCATTTTCGGGACGAGCACGAAAGGGGCGTCATGGACGTAGGGGTGGCAGACGGGGGTGCGCGGCTGGCGAGAGTGCCGAGAGTGCATCCTCGCCGGCGGGAGGCAAAAGGTCACGTGACGGGCGGCCAGGAGCGGAGGGAATGGGGGTGGGAAGAGGTGGAAGTCTCGTGATTTTTACGCTGCCGTACGGAAATGCTGTCAGTTCCGCAGGAACTGTCGTGCGATACGGACGTCTGCGAGCGACGACTGTCCTCCCTGCCGTGTGTGACCGATCGTAATTAATGTCTCCCGCGTAAATGCTTCTTCTTCTGTGAACTGCTTCCTTTGTGTGCTTTCCCTTCGATTTCGGTTCGGGACATTTCTTCTCCCTTTCTGTGCTTGTTTCTCGCGAAACTGCCCCCGATGACAAGCTGTCCAAGTATCGAAGTGACATTTTTAGATAACGGTCTAAAAATAGAGTTGATACCTCATGCATAAAATATGCAGAATGATCCAATATTAACACACTTTCTTTCACTTTTTTATTGAGAAAAATATTTTAATTAATAACTTTTAGTTATTAATTAGTTGATATTTGATCAAACCAACAAAATGCCATTCCTGTTGAGATTTATTCCATTCTGTATATACATCGTTTTACGTAATTTTTAGATAATAATAATATAAGAAGATGTAATTATTTTAATAACGATAAAACAACTTTCTTCGATGTTGTGTAAAAATTGTGCGCTTAACACGAATGTTACAACATCACTTCAATACTTGGAAAGTTAAACTGTAAAGCAACTCTGCTACAAATCATAACGAAGAGAAAAAACGTATAGCGTTTAATTAGCGTTATTTAAAAATACATTTATATTTATTTAAAAATAAATCTCGTCTTCTTAATTATTTGCTAATTTACTGTGTTCTATCTAGGATTTTATAAAAAGATATTTGAGAGAGGAAAATCATTTACAAGCTCAGAAACCTGATATAGCCATCTATGATATCGCTTGCATCACGTCTGTTGAAAAGTTTTCACAAATTCAGAGAAACGAAATTTATTTTATTGCAAAATACCTCCGCGAACGTAATCTAAAGCTTGTGAACGAGAGACGTGGAAACGGAGTTTTTTTTCTTAGTTGTCTTCGCGTCGAAAGAAATATTTAACCGGCGAAAAGAGCTTTGTTCAAGTTTCACTTGTCCATTCACAGTCTATTATCCACACGTGGCAATGTGATATAATGCCTACAACTCTCTTTCGCCATTAGCCATTTTGCGCGGCGCAAATAATGCATCATTTCGAGCAAACTTGCCGCGTTTCGCGACTGCACTGTAAGAACTCTGATTAATATCGTCGTATTGTGTAGCAGCTCGCTACCGGAAGATCAAAGTAATTTTCGCCTTCGACTACGAAAACTTCAAATTTACCGAGTTACTAATAACCGTTACATCATTATCGCGAATGGCGAGCTTCCGTACTGAAATAAGCAAACTTATATAATGTGGAACATTCAATCTATACATTGAATACGGATAGTTCACCGGTACGTTCCGATAAAAGATTCCATCGGAAAATTAAATATAATTGAGCTTTATCAGTTTTAATTTGATACCGTCCTCTCAATTCCCGGCGTTAAATATTCGATCATTATCCATCGCGTAAAATTGTTCGCGAGATAGAAATGTCAATTGTGATTTCTGTAATAGTTACATGACGTCTCTGGTAAATTATTGACAACTTTTGAAATAACACTCCAACCACATTTCTCTCATGCAATATGCTCATAACATAGTCTGGCCGCCCTGTTTATTATAGCTTTCACAATTTATTTATTTAATTAGAATGGTATCTCATCCGTTACCGTACAAATATTTCGTTTTAATAGCGTCTAAAAAGGTGCTCACTTTTATTCGCAATTTCTCGTTATACGTTCGTTAGACACTTCCCTTTTTTTTCTGTCCCCCGTATATCGTATCCTGCTAACGAACGACGTTATTTCACATCGCAGGCTGCGAACCGTACGTTCGTACCGCTGCTGCCGTGTCGTGGGGTGAAAGTGAATACAGTCGTGTATGACGTGCACGCGTGTCTCGTGTGCACGCGCGTGCAATACGCGCCGATTCGTGTGCCCGCCACGAGTGTCGACCACTTACGGTCGATCGATCGCAGTAAATTCCTTCAGTTTGCGTCGTGCAGGGATATCGATCGTACGATCGATCCGCTCCTACTTTGTACGCTGGATACCAAATCGAGGTGAGGAATTGTCGGAATATCGATGGAGTTACCGATACTGATACTGACCGAGCGTTTCTAAGATGAATCTCCGATGATTGGCTCACCAACAAACCTATCATCAGCAAGCTAATTTCAACAACAGGCATACACAAAAAAAATTTAATGTTTGATCTGGAGATTAGACTATGGTATTCTAATATATTTTGACGTTAAAACCGATGTCCAAATTGACCCATCATGTCACAATTTTTTTATTAAAGGAAAATAATTCGATTTTCCAGTATTTTTAGAGTCATTTATGACCTGGTTTTTAATATGCAAGCTAATAGGTCGCTATGACCCCCTTTCAGCAAAACAACTTGTGTTGGCACATTTTTTTAAGAGCATCTGAAAAAGTTAAAAGGAGTGATCGATTTATAAATTTTTACTTACTTAAAAAAGTTGTAATGTGAGGAAGCAATTCAGGCATTGAATTCGATTTTTGAGCGTCAAAATACATAAGAAGTCATGATCTAATCTCCGGATCGAACATTTTTTGTATTCAAAGTCGTACACCATTAAAGCCCGATTTTTTTTTACTGGTTAACTTGTGGTTGAGTTTAGTAAAGTAATAAGTTATTTAATAAGTAATAAAGTAAAAATTATATATTTTTATTTACAGTTAATTGCTAAACTAATAATTTCGTAGTGAATGACTTTTAAAGTTATTATAGTACAAAAATATTACTTTAGTGATTGATCATAACTAAAAAAAACACAATTTTTACATTGTTATCAAGTTAAGTTAGATTAAAAGTCCAAACCACAAGTTA